TCTCCAAGCTTCTTACTGTACTTCCTGCAGCATTCAGAAAGACAAGAGCGCTTACTGGACCCCGAATCTGTACTATAGACATCGCAATGGATCCTTTGAGGAAGTGCCACATGATGGAACAGTCGTGTACTATTTGGATCGTGGTGTGGACGTAGCCAACATGGTTCCCTTCCCCCCTGGCTTCCGTATGCTCTCTGGCGATGCCGCCGCTCGGTCTTTCGACCCGAACACCATGACCTACGGCAACAGGACTTACGGCGGTACTCCCGTTTCCAACCGTGCCAGTTTCGCTTGTTTGGACAGCAGTGGACCCCAGCCAGAAACTCCAGGCTTCAAGTCCACCAAGTGCGATTCAGGTCTTCGTGCCCAGATACACTTCCAAAGCTGCTGGGATGGTGTCAATCTGTACAAAACTGACCAAAGCCACGTGGCGTACCTCTCTGGAATGGACAACGGCATTTGCCCGCCCACTCACCCCAAGCTTCTTCCTCACTTGTTCTTCGAAATCATCTATTCTGTCAATAGCGTTGATCAATCTGACGGTGGCATGTTTGTCTTTTCCCAGGGTGACACGACAGGCTATGGCTTCCACGGCGATTTCTTGAACGGCTGGGACGTCGACGTCCTGGATGCCGCCATTGACCAGTGCATGGGTCCCAATGCCTCCAACAATGGTCAGATCGGTCTGTGTCCACCACTTCAAGCCTCAGTTGACCCATATTTCAACCAGAACTGTCCGGAACAGACTCCTCTCGTCAACGAGACGGTTCACGGTCTGCTCAAGGTGCTTCCAGGTTGCAATCCTCCAACAGGCGGGCCGTTACGCGCCACCCAAAACATCTGTCCCGTCCAACCGACGCTCAATTACATCCCCAATCAAGATTGGAAGAACCGGTCCGTCGCCGTTCCCGGTCAAAAGGTGGGCAGCTGGCAGTATATGGGCTGTGCGTTCGACTCAAGCAGCCCTCGCCCGCTGGCCGGTTTGAGCTATACTAGTCAAACTAACATGTCCCTCGAGAGCTGTACAGCCTTCTGCAAGCAAAACGGCTACTTTATGGCTGGAATGGAGTACTCGACTCAGTGCTACTGCGCTAGCTCGCTGACGCAGCCGCTGCAGTCCCCACTCAATTGTTCGCAGCAAAATTACATGATTTGCAGCGGCAATCAATTCGAGTATTGCGGTGGACAGAGCCTCATGCAGATATGGAATGACACCACGTACTCGGGGCCGGCAATCAAGGGTACGCCTATAGCTGGTTCAACAGTGATGACTGTCCCTGGCGGTGGAAATGTGACCTACCAAGGCTGTCACGTAGAAGGTGTGGGAGGCCGAGCCTTGTCGGGTACATCCTTCTCCAATAGTACAGGTATGACCCTGGAGCTCTGTGCTGCGTTCTGCTCGAAGACCAACTCTGCGTTCTTCGGCACCGAGTATAGTCAAGGTAAGCCTCGTTCCCATCCACTTCATCGTCGGATTTGACTGATTTGAATTCCTCTAGAATGCTATTGCGGTAACAGCATCAGCACCGCTACTGCTCCCCAGTCGGACTGTTCCGCCTTCTGCTCCGGTGACAAGACCGAGTTCTGCGGCGGCGGCTCTCGCCTTTCTGTCTGGGCGTTGGGAAACTACCAGCCGCCCTCTGGAAGCCAGACCGGCACCGGCGGAAATACTGCACCATCCTCGACCGTCAGCGCTGTCCCCGCCGCCACAGGAATCAGCTCAATGGGTTGCTATAGCGAGACTACTCCAACACGAGCCCTGACCGCACTGTTCACCTCCGGTAGCTCGATGACCATCGACCTCTGCGCGCAGAATGCTCAACGGATGAATCTGCAGTACTTCGGTGTGGAATATGCCTCACAATGTCTTGCAGGCAGCGTCCTGAACCCATCTTCCACCGCCTTAGCATCTTCAAAATGCAGCATGAAATGCACGGGCAACACCACCCAAATATGCGGAGGTTCCAATGCCATCTCTCTGTACAAGAATACACTGTACATCAAGCCGTTTAACCCGAACCCCGCCAACGTGCCGAACCAGCCCGGTTCTCAGTACGGGTACGTGGGGTGCTACAATGAAGGCAACGGCGCCCGAGCGCTGGGCAGCACCGACAAATTCGGCTCTGCGGCGACCACCTCGGCGGCGCTGACGGTCGAGGCCTGCGCTGCATTCTGCTTCTCAAAAGGGTACAACTGGATGGGCGTGGAGAACGGGAACCAGTGCTTCTGCAACGCCGCGGGGGTCATCAACGGCGCCACCGTCTCCTCTGGCGGCGACGCCGACTGTAACGTCACCTGCGCCGGGAACGCGACCGAGAACTGTGGCGCCAGCGCAAAGTTGAACGTATACCAGTTGACTAGCGGGAGCGGGAGTGCGCGGTTCGCCACGACGAGCAAGACGAGTAAGAGGGCCATGAGGTTTCGAACGTGGTGAGTAGGTATGTTCTATATGTACGCAACAAGGAGAACCGTGTCGAAAAGGGCCGAAAAAAGAAGAAAACGAGTGGAAGGTAAGAGCGTTGTTTTCTACGCAAAGTCATTGTTGATACGTGCATTCATGCCATCTATCTTTGCTGTGTGACTACAGTAGACGAAAGGGACCGGGGCCCAGAAGATTGAGTCAAAAAGGCAGGCAGGAATTCCCCCATTATAGTGTGCATTGCTGAATGATGATCTTTCTACCGGCACTCTCTCCCCCTCCCTCTCTTAGTGTGCATGTGTTGGAATTGGCACAGACACGAGGGTGGTATGTGCATTGTATAAAGGTCGCGACGAGTTGAAGAACTAGTAAAGACTTTGCATTGTTTGTGTATCAGAAAATGCCCAAGAACTCCCTGAATCTTAAGACGAGGGTCGAACACCCATGAGACTCCACAATGCAAAACACGATGTTGCTGAAGTGAAGGAGAAGTGTCTGTCATATGACCTCGGCGGCAATACTGGATCAAAAAGTGGCTGATCTACTCCTGACTCTCAGACTTCTTCTGCCTCTCTCGAACAATCTCTCCTCACGGATCCGCCTCAACGTCTGCCTGTCCAAATCCCAGTTTTCTGCAGGATGAGCGAGACCCCAGTGCAGAATGTTGAAGGAATAGTCCTTAGTGAGCATGGCCCATGCTGCACTGCGCGGATATATGACATTGGCGGTGGCAAGAACAAGTTTAGTATTGCGTTTAAAAAAGCGGCCAAGGCAAGGATCCGGTTTTGGCGTCCACCGCATTGCGATATTCAGGCTTCCGTACAGCACCGTGGATCCCTCGCTCCATATTCTCTTGCAGACGCGGAGAAACTGTGCCGAGAGACCGTGGCTGTCAACGTAATACCGGGAGTCGTATAGTTGAGACCAGTCCAAGTCTTCCGTACTTGAAACTTGAGGTCTATTGACCACCTGTTTCAGACCGATTGTGGAGAGGGCTGGGTCCGGAGAACAGAGGAAGCAGAGGATCTGATGGTCGTCGACGAAGAGCTCGTCGTAGATCATATTCATGATTTCCGGAGGGTAATTTAAGAAACCCATCGGACCAGTTGTATCGCGAGGCTTGATGATAGGGAGGTCGTCCATTTCGAGCCCGGTGGGGTTTAGTTGTATGAGTATGCGCCCCTGGATGCCAGTTTACCGACAGAATGGTGAGATGAAAACGAAAGTACCTCGGGCCTGGTGATGCTGAAAGATAGATAGTAAGATTCTGTTCCTAACGATGGATCTGCAGCCTGATAGGATGCAACCAAAGGTAAATGTGTATCTTGGATTGACGAGGGGAGAAAGCGAGTAGCTAGCTGGTCAGTAGACATTCTCGTGGGCTGGGTTCCCTGTTTGTTGAACGGCAGGAGCAGAAGTCTTGAGAAGGGCAAGCCCATAGCAGCTCAACGGGAGGCACAATGAGTGTCAAAGGGACGGGCAGCAGCGGCCTTCCCAGTGAGTAGAAGCGCGGCCTCACTTTCATCCACAAGGTACTCGTTTTGCCCTCTTCATCGCTTGGCCTTATGCCTCGCCATTTTCTTCTTCCGAGCGATTTCTGATGCGAAAACGACGGAGTTCTTGGGCTTCCTCTTGGAGACTTTGCGCACTTTGTGATTGACCTGGCTTCTAGCCGTGGAAGACTTGACCGGCTTCATGCTCGCCCCTTGTGCGTCGACATCCATTACTGCGTGGTCAGATCAGTGGCGGCTGGATTGCGGGAAGATAAGCGCAGGTACCTTCGGAGCTACTCCTGTGAGGCTGGTCTCCCGCAGCTGACCCAGCTTTGTCGTCCACGTCCATGACCTTCTCCGTCTCTGGTTTTGGTTTCGCTGCTAGCTCTTGGAGTTTTGCAGACAATCTGGCTGTACGGGCATCAGAGGCGGGACCATACACCTTGGCGCGTAGGTTGCGATGGTTCTTCTTGACCACGGAGGCCCGAGCAGATTTGGCCATGGCTGCTGAGGTCAATCGTGTGGTTTGACAGATGAATGCAGGGAGTGGGAAAAGTTGAACGCTGTGAACGCTGGCCTGCGGTGGGCAATGAGGGCGAGGGATGGATTTTTGGGCAGCCAAAGTTGCCGGGGTTTCTCCGATTCGCAATTCAAAATGAGCCCGACCCAAGTAACCAGTGACCAGTGACCAGTGACCAGTGACTGTGGCTCTCGACCACGGCGAGGGCAGCAACCTCACATCCATCACCGTCCTCACATCCTCACATCCTCACGGCCTCACATTCACCTGACCTTGCCGAAGTTCTTAGGGCGAGGGGGGGGAAATGTAGTCACCCTCTACTTTGTGTTCCTCTTCCTCTTGCTCACACGGTTCTCCGTCACCTTCTGCTGTACTGCCCGCCGGCGGAGATAGAGAGCATCCACAGAGGTAGTGACCGCGCGCAAGTTCACTCCCGCTTCCGCTCTCTTCTCCAACCATGTTTCGACATCGTCGCCACCGATAGTCCCAGCCAGATCCCCATCCTTCCTCTGTTCGACTGCCTTGTAAAGACAACCAGAAGCACGATTACTATACCATGGCAGGCACCATGGCCCCCTACATGCCTGCCCAGGCACAGGACAATGTGCAAGCGTTGATTGCCGAAGTGAAAACCCTGACTGTCGAGAAATTGAAGAATGTACTGCGCAGCGAAGGCCTGGCATTGTCTGGAGTCAAAAGTGAACTACAAATCAGAACAATTGCCCGTATGGCACCTTTCCCCCCCAAACTGCCCCTCCCACCTCTCTTCCTCTGCCTTGTCCTGACTTCCCATCTCTGCAGATATCGAGAAGCTGCGCAATGCATCAGACATAGCAGCGCTCAATCGAATCCGGGGGACGCTGAGAGGGCTTCCTTCTCCATACCACAACAGCAACTCTTACCATCCGCATTATTCGAACCTCACACCCACGTCTTCGGCCTCTCCCCAGTTTTCCTCCCCGAGCGCCCACAACTCCTACAACATGCCCTTCAACCAGACGTCTGGTGCAAGTATGGCACATCGTATTGAGAAAAGGAAGAGGCGCTGACCAAGAGTAGGTCGATTAACTTTCAAGGGCTCACCGTTCTACACTATCGCCAGGCAGCTCACTCAGGTCTACGAATGCAAGGGTAATTTTGACATCTCCGCTTGGAACCTGCGCATCGCTCACTAGAATCTAGCTCGAGAGTCAGCCAGAGACACTGCGCGGCTCGTAGTTTGCTTGCCCCAAGATATCATTGACAAACTGAACAAGGATCCATCATACCGTGTCATGGTCTTTTGCGCCTCGGAGAATTCCGGAGCTCTCATGAGAGAACCATCCGACATTGCATTTCCTCACAATGTGGAACTGAAGTGCAATGCGAGCGAGGTCAAGGCGAATCTGAAAGGGCTGAAGAACCGACCCGGGTCCACTAGGCCTGCCGATATTACGAGTCTGATCAAGAAAAAGCCCGCCAATTATCCGAATTCTGTCGAGATGATCTATGCTCTTACCACAAAGGTGCGCGAGATGATTCGATTTTCCACCCCCCGTTATCTTTTCATCTGTGTCCGATCTCACATCAAGAACTCTCAATGCTAAATAGGACAAATCTGCCGTACAGAAGTTCTTTCTTGTAGTCAATCTAGTTCTGCAAAAGCCGATTGACACAATGGTCGCCAATATCAGGCGAGGCCGTATGATTAGCAAAGACCAAGTCCTTCGGGAGAGTGAGTTCACCTTGCCCTCATTCTGGATTAAGTACTTACATGAATCAGTGCGGCGAAAGGCTGAAGACCCGGATGAAATCGTGGCCACATCTATGGTTCTTTCGTTAAAGGATCCCGTCGGTTACACACGCATAAACACGCCCTGTCGCGGTATCGGTTGTAACCACCTACAATGCTTTGATGCAGCCCTATATCTACAACTTCAGGAGCAAGCGCCTACGTGGACATGTCCAATCTGCAACAGGGCTGCGCCTTGGGAACAGCTGGCTCTGGATCAGTATGTTAACGACATTCTGAACCTGACGCCAAAGAGTGTCGAGGCGGTGACCGTCGAAGTCGACGGAAGATGGCACATCCAGAGCGAAACCGATACTACTGGTCGCAGGTCTAACCCCACGCCATCTGATGATTACGATGATGATGACGACGGCGACGGGGATGATGACGGCGATCTAGTGGAGATCAGCAATGGACCCAGTTTCCGGCCCTCGAATCTGGAAACATTGACGCCGTTCAGTGTCAAGACGCCGCCGTTGTCCTCCAGAGAAGTATCCATTGCTCCTTCAGGGTCGAAACCGTCGTCACACAACAAGAAGAGACCCCGCGAAGTCATTGATTTGACCCTGAGCGATGATGAGGACGCCAGACCAGCTCCAAAGGCCCCAAGGATGTCCAACTCTTATGTCTCTGTGGATGTTTCCGCTGCGCGACATCCACCACCAGATCGGGTCTTCTTTCAGCTACAACCTCCGGCCTTTGACTTTGACAGATTTAATCCATCGCTTTAGCGTTCTGCACGGGGCTTACAGGCTTTCTTTTCGATTCGCATGGCGCTACGGGCATAGGCTGGGATCAATGGTGACAAAATGAACATTTTGGTGGACAAAGGTCAGGGTCGGAAAGCGCTCACCGGAATCTTTAAGGCAACACGTGGGGGGAGGTTGAATGCATGTGGATTTTATCGCTAGTATGACCAACACTCTTGGCAGTGAGAAAGAGCTGTGCACCACGACAGGGGAATGGAATCACGATTCATGAATTTTACTCATACAAACTGGGATGAAATGCAGCAAAGATATATTCAGGGAACGATGAACACTGGACAGAGGAGGGGGTGAATGCAGGATGAGCACATGCAATGCATGAATGAACAGTTGCCGAAGGCAAATGCATGCGTAATACACCAAATGCTTCCTCTGCATTACGCTTCAATGCCGGTCGACATGGTTCTGCATACAAACAAGGTCGAGTTCCATCTTCTCATCTGTGACCTTTTGCAAAGAATACAATGTCTTGAGAGATCTATGTTTCAGGGGCCATGCAGCACCCAGCAAAGAGTATTTCGTCTTTACAGCGCTCCTAATATGTGCGTCAACGTCCAGCAGGGGGGTATTCGCCCTACATCGCTCCCGGTAGAAGACATTCTCGCTCGGCGTGACACATTCATTCATGACCAGGTACAATATGACAGAGCCCTCAATGCTGACTCCGTTCTCATCTTCGTACAAGCACGGCGACAACGCACCACCTCTGAGCCTGGTCCTTATTCTCCCCGGTCCGGACGGGCTCCCAGGGCCTGCGAAGGCCGTTCACGTCAATCTCGAAGATCTCTGCGGCGCGGAGATGGCCCGTGACGTCTTCTGCTGCCTCGAGTTCTTGGTCCTCGTCTGTGGCTCTGCGCTTGTCTTTGTCGTCTTCTTCCGTCTCTGAGGACGACGGCGGTGGCAGCCTATATTCTCCTGTGGCCACCTCGAAGAAATGCCGCACGGTCTCGCGGCCGGTGTGGAAGCCGGCAACCACCAACGCACAACTCTCGGCAGGACTTGCGGGGTGCTGCGAGCGGTCTTCTCGGCGGAGATAGTGCAGGATGGTCCTGACGAGGTTGACGTGTTGAGAGCGCATCCAGAGACAGTCTGCGATGACGATACGGTCGAAATCTAGGGGCTGTTGCTCGGCCCGCGTACCGTATCGCGATGGCATGTACATGGTCGTCGTGCCCCACGTGTAGCCGAATATATCGACCGGTCCTGGCCTCGACGGCGAAGTTGGTGAAGACTGGGTGTCTGCTCCACACGATTCCGATCGTTCGGTGATATTTGTCCGAACATTCTGCTCGATGGTGCCGTTGGTCAAAGCGGGCGAAGACGGGTGGTCTGTGATGGTTGCCGAGAGCGCACCAGAGCGGGCAGAAATGATGGATGGTAGGGCCGTGCCTGTCTCGCCAGTGAGCGAACATTCCATTTTGCATGGCTCTCCAGTGTCTGTCTGACGTACGTCGAGTTGAATATTCTCACGTACCAGCGCCCAGCTCAAGAATCCGCTTCCCTCTGACATCCCAGTATCTCTTTTCCCATTCCAGGGCATCCTGTTCCCCATGTCCGTCGCTGTGCGATCCGAGCTCTTCATCGAAACTCGCCGTCTCCAACCCGTCCGCCGCAATCACGGCCGCGTTCCACAAGTAATGCGCGAAAAGCTTCCTCCCCTCCTCGACATGCGGGTACTGCGGGATCCTCAGGTCGATCTTTCCGAACCGCGGCGAGTGGTAGGTCAGATGGCCGCCGGGGACGCCGTGGTTGTTTTGCACGACGTCGGTGAACAGGCTCGAGAGGGCCGACGAGAAGATGTCCTCGGATTGCGGATCGGACGGGAGGGGCGTGGTGATGCGCGAGGGAAACATGGCGGCGAGGGAACGCTGGTGATTGTACCGAGCACGCACAAAGAGAGGAATGGTCAAATCGCCTTTTAGAGGAAGGTAGGAGCAACCTGCATCGCGAGTATTTTGGAGGTGTCGAAAAGCGTGCAATGTGCGGGCTCACCGTTGGAATGGGGGTTTGGGGGACAGTTACCGAGCCCGTACTTTCTATTGCCATGCAAGGCTGAGCCACGCGGGGTGTCGCCCTTAAGAAAGTCCACACTCGCATAAGGCTCGAAACAAAAACCGTTTTCCGCGGCTTCTCGACGACTTGACACCCACGTCTCAACAATATCCCATCGCAAACATGTCTCTGGAGAAATCCCACCCAGTCCACCTCGAACCCAGCGAGCTGGGCACCAAGGAGTAGTGAGTGCGTCCCTACGGATCCCAGGCCTTGCAGCGCACTCGCTGATAGCTCTAACCAACAATAAAAGCTGGGACGAATACTACCAGAATGATCTAGAAAACGGTGCTGTCCACTCCGATGACGAGGATGACGCGGAAATCGAAGACGGCAGCGATGAGAAAACCGGGAGTGAGCAACAGCCTCCCGATCCCTCAGAACTGGAATCGTGGTTCGACGACGTGGGCGCCCCAGCAAAGACACTGGCTTTCCTGACCTCGACCACGTTTCCTCTCTCACCAAACTACGTCGGCCTGTCGGGAAATACGAGGAAGGCGCCTTCAGTGCTAGACTTGGGCACCGGCAACGGCAGCGCCTTGTTCGCCCTGCGTCTCCACGGCCACTACACCGGCCGCATGGTCGGCGTGGACTACTCGAGCAAGAGCGTCGAACTGGCGCGGAGGCTGCGCGTGCGGTATGCTTCGGCGGCCTCTTCCGCCACAGACTCGGGCTCGAGCGTGGAGAACATGGCGTTCGAGGTCTTCGACATCATCCACGACTCTCCCCATGCGCAGCCGTGGTGGGACTCCTCTCTTGACCCGGGCGGTTTCGACCTCGTCCTTGACAAGGGCACGTTCGACGCCATTTCTCTCTCCTCGGCCACCGTCGCCGACCCGGCGTCCTCAAACCGCCACCAAAGACGCATGTGCGAACTCTACCCTGCCAAGGTCCTGCAGATGGTCAAAGCCGGCGGCTACCTGCTGGTCACGAGCTGCAATTGGACCGAGGCCGAAGTCGTCGCTTGGTTCACCACGTGTCCACCAGGTGGCCGTGAGAACGAGGTATTTGAGGTGTACGATGCGATCAAGTACCCCGTGTTCGAGTTTGGAGGGCAGAAGGGACAAGGCGTCGCCAGTGTTTGTTTCCGGAAACCGCAGAGAACCGAGACAGATCAGGGATGAATGTGACTTCGGGAACGGATGCTACGAAAAGTTTTTGTTTGATTTTTCCTCATCTTCAGGATCAGCAACAAGGTACCCAGTATGATATCTTCTGCCCCGTTTCCCTTGGAAATGGCAGCTCTGGAATGTCCCCCGAGAACCTGATTCGATCGTCAACCTTTACCTCAAATCCAAGGGAGCACCGGCCCCTAAATCGCTCTGGTGTCTCTCATATGGTCATCAGCATCTGCAGCAGGGCAACACTCGCTATCCCGTCTGAACTCTTGGTATCTTTCGTCCGGCCAGCCGGGGCCCGCATTGGTCATCAATCATCTTTTCAATCATCCTCAACCCTGGTTCATCAACATATTCACTGCCCAAGGAACCGACAACTGGCGCAGATCCCCGTAATGCTGGCCTACACCGATAAATTGCACTGGCACCGAAGTGGCATGCACGAGACTGATCATTGTCCCAATCCCAGATCCAACAGTGTCAACCTTGGACACAATGAACCCATCGAGCTTTCGATTCTTCCCGAGCGCTTTGGTGAAATTCTGCGCTTGGCCCACCGAATCATTCCCTACCAGCGCCTCGGCAACTTGGAGGATCAAGTCTGGTTTTGCCAAGTCAACAAGTTTCTCCAGCGCGGCCATGAGTTGCGTGTTCGTATGCGCTCGTCCGGCGGTGTCAATGAGGACGACCTGATAGTCGTTCTCTTTTGCAAAGGTCACTGCATCCCTAGCCACATTGGCTGCGTCCTTGCCGTAACCTCGTTCGTAGATACTGACCGCACCAAGCCCTTCGCGAGCTGTAAGCTCCCTCAAGTTGCGCACATGGACGTTCAGTTGTTCCACGGCACCCGATCTAAAGGTATCGCCCGCCGCAATCAAGACGCGATAATTGTTTTGCAACAGAAAATAGCAGAGTTTTGATAGGTTGGTGGATTTGCCGACGCCATTTACACCCAAGATGGTGATGACGAACGGACGGGGTTGCGCTTTTGCTCCCGTTGGCCTTGCGACGGTTTCGATCTGCTGAAGGAGGTCTAGTGACGATCTTGGCGTGAGAATCTTTCGGAGTGAATTTTCCAGCGCTGGGCGCAATGCGGCGTCGATTGATTCGAATGCCCCTGTCTTCTTGCCAACCATTTCAGCCTCCACCCCTTGACACAATCGAATAGCCGCATCACGAGCGACGTTCTTGTTGATCAGGTGTTCCTCCATGGACTTCAGAGGCTTCTCCAGGTCTTCCTTCGTCAATGTCTTCCCACCCACAATGTTCCTGAAGTATCCTGAAATTGCACCGAAGGTCGTCCTGCCAGTTCCATTAATTTCGCCTTTACTGGCGTCTGCCGACTTGAGAATGTTGTTGACTTCGTCGCCCAGATCCTTAAGGACAAACTGGCCTTGTTTGTTCTTCGTTCCCCAACTTTCTTGGGAGATGGTTTCCGGTGACGGAGACCCTTTCGCTGTTTCTCCATTGGCGCCAGTATCACCAGCCGAATAGTCGAGTTTGACATCATCCTCCACGTCTGCAATTCCATCGGGACCCCAAACTCGACCCTTCTTTGCGCTCGTTTTGGCAGGTTTGTGTCTTCTAGCCTCGTCTCCGCTTGAGACATTGGCAGAAGCTGCGGCGTGGGCAGCCTTTCTTGCTCTGCGAGAGCCCCGATTTTGCGGCCTTCCATTGTCCGTCAACAAGTGTGGCGCGATGCCCGGAAGAGGAGTCGTCGGACGGGAGGTATCAGGCGAGTGGACAGGAGTGTTCTGGAGAGAACCTTCATTGCTGACTGGCGCAGCCAGAGGCTGTGGTGTTTCCGGCGGCGGTGGGCCTCCATTGTCCCCGTCTTCGGCGCTTGTTTTCTTTTCTTCCTGCGGCAGTTCAACGTGGCTTGCCTCCCTGGTGATTGCTCCGCCTATGCTTTCATCCAGTCGGCGCATCTCCTCATCGAAATACGGATCGAAAGGATATTTCAGAGCAGCGTAGTCGAGTTCCTCCAGCTGGCCTCTGTAGACTTTGACAAAGATGGTTTGGATGTCGTCGAGCAACTTGTCAACCCAGGTAAGGTGAAGAAGAGACTGATAGACTGCCACGAAGATCAGGCCCAGGTCCTTGACCAGTGTATATTTCAACGTGTATTTGTCGTGGCGGTACGTGGGCTTGTTCGAGCTGGTCGCTGTCGGGCGGACTTTCTCCTCGATGAAGACATCGTTGATCAAACTGTTGACTGCGGCTGCGCCGACCTTGGAAGAGGACCTCGACCACAAGACGACGCCAGAGGTCGTCAAGATCTCAAAGGCGTCCAACATTCTGCGGGACAGAGCTGGTTCCCTCTGGAGACGGAGGCCGCCGACGAAGAGGGAGATGGGACAAGAGGGCGCGAGCAAGAACGACCGAAAGCGACTGGATGGTTGAGGCGAAGCCACCGAAGCGAACTTATAAAATGACGTTGAATTCACTGTCACGTGCTGATACGGGTTTTGTGGTCCTGTTCGGCGAAGTATTTTGGGTATTTCACGTGGAGATAGCAACGGAGGAGTATGTCGCCTTTGACGCAGTTCGGGCATCTTCATTCATCCACCTTGGTCCCTTGACGCCTTTGTCTTTCATCCACTACATCATCTAGAATAGCGGCTGTCAATGTTGATGTTTCTCATTGCTTCCTCCCTATGTATGACTCACTGTCTCAAGATGCGAGCATCAGCGTGGGACGGCGATACACCACATGGGCGACAGGCTATGGGAGAAAGACTCAGCATATTTCCAAAGATGACGGCTTTACTCATTGGCAACTAGATCCTGGCTGCGGTCAAGCGCTTGTGCTCCGCGCAGCTACCCAGTCACCGAACTCATCCTGGTTTCTGGTCTGGATGTAGATCCTGCCAGGTCCCGTAAATCTGCACACAAGACCTTCCCCGGTCGTCATGCTGTGGACACCGCCTTTCCCTGCCTTCTCAATCGCATATCGACAATTCCACGCGACAAGGTGGCCGTTATCAACGATGTGCTGTTCGTTGGCTTGGAGCTATGCACCTGTTAGAAGTGTGTCTTGTCGGGGAGGACAACCGGGGAGACGAGACCGGTGTGGCCCGGCGAGATATCAAGGGCATGGATCCACTTACATCTCGGGTGACTATGGCACCGAATGACGTGACCCAGAGTGTCCCCTGGCCAGAGATGCGGTAGATGAACAAGTCTTCGCCGCTGAAGAAAGCCTTCCCAAGCCCCTGAGTCTTTGTCTCCTTGACAACTCCGCCCGTACAAGCCAAAAAGGCATCCTTTCCGAGGTTCCAGCCCTCATCACCGCGAATGGGAATGGCGGATATGTCACCAAACAACGTAGGTGCCAGCGACACCTCTCCAGGCCCAGTGTACATGGATTCAGCCATCTCTCCTCCGGTGAACATTTTCTTCATGCTGAACTTTACCTTCCCCTGGAGGGTGATGGTTGGAGACATTTGGATCATGGCCCCAGGTTTGGACTTGATCACGACACCTTGAGGAAGCCGCACATTCAACATGGCGTTTGTGTCACGGTTAGTGATGGAGTATGAGATACCATCCACCGCCGAATGCCAGCTTTGATCAAACGATGTCGATGCCGATGGTACCCCCTGCGGAGCATGATGCTGTGGTGGTTGTTGCTGTGGCTGTTGCGGTGGGTACTGCTGTTGCTGTTGGTGATATTGATTCTGATATTGATTCTGGTATTGACCCTGGTCTTGGTATGGAACTGATACCGTTAGCTGTGTAGACTGAAAGCAACCAACCGGTTTCTCTAGTTACCATTAGAGCCATATTGTTGTGGAGGATAATATTGGCCCCCCGAATTCTGGTTGTACGCCATTTTCTCTGGATCTGTCGAACCTGTGCACAGACGGAAACAATCAAACGTGGAGTTTTAACGGCCGTTGGGCTCGTGTCAATCGAATGAGAAGCACCTGACAAAGAGACGACGAGGCTTGAAAGCCAAATACCGTGGATTTATGCTTACAGGAAGTATCCTACAATGGAGGAAGAACGCCTCCCGAGCTGAGAGCGCAAGACGTCGGTGACTTGGTCAATTCCACTCTGACCCTCAACCCATCGTTTTTTCCTTCAGCTGGTACGGTTCTTGTCTCGGCCCCCAACAATTGCTGTCCTGTCATTCGATGAGGGGCGCTTGGCCTTACGACAGCGAATCCTTCAGGAAGCCCAACTTGCCTGACCAAGGCTCTTCTTGTGTTTGATCTGTGGGCTACATTAATAGCTCTTTGCGCCTATGGATCCTTAATTCCACCGCCCCAGAAGAGTAGCCTGCCTACGCCATTCGCTTGGGACGATTGAGCCCACAACTAGTCTAAGTCAGGCTGGTACATTGCCCCGATCCGTCACCAATGTCGTTCCTATGGGACCTTCGACTTTCACCGAGGTACCTTTGGTGGTTATTCAGCATATCGGAATCCACACCCTGTGTGTCGGGGCATGCGTCGCTAGGAAACATACATAGAGATGCGGTGGAATCTCGGTTATTCAGCTTTTCTAACAGGTGACTGAGCGTTAGCGCGCAGCACTTCACAGATAGATCTCGAATCCCGCAGACTTGCAGACAGGCAAACATACAAACGCCATCCGCTACAGGGAAACTAAGTTTGTTCGCTGTTACGCTACGAGTGTCTGGAGCGTTACAGACCAACCGCCTCTTCAAGCAAAGCAAACATCCTAGGGCCAAGCACATCGGTGCTTATGTTTGTAAGAGACATGCAGAATCTCGCCTGATCTAACACGATTCTCCCATGTGCCACGTTGCATACATACATAATGCCTCTCGCGGAGAGTCTACGAGACGACGGAATGCAGGAACCCCTTTCACTATTTCACATGTCCATTTGAACCGCTTGCGGTGAATGTGGACCTCTGCGCACGGTGGCGTACGGTCAAGGAGTTGTCTTGTTATTCGGCGCGGCCGTTGTGCGAGGGGTGCGGCGGGTTGGTTTCCTTGATGGTTCAGACCAGTTTGAGTATTTGCAGCCTTCCGTATCGGTTCCTGGCTACAGAGGGTCTCAGGAAACGTCACCGTCTGTTGTTACCAATCAAGCTGCGGCAAAGGGCTCGATGGCTTTGTTTCAATTCGGCGACTGAACCACGTTGGCTGTCATTCTATCTCGCATTCCTTTCAAATACAGTGCGAAGGGCCAAAGGATTAAGGCTGTCGACCTGGTCAACATCGAAACACCGTCCAGTTTTCGACATGGCCTACTCTAGGAAGGGGGGAATCGCAGCCCTTTTAGCGACCGGAGTTCGATTTTATATTGGCAGGATTCATTGGGCTTTTGGACTGGGCCTGGAGGCTGGGAGTGAGATTTCCTAACGGTACGGACTCTATCAGGACCACCTTTCGGCACAGAGATTGAATCATTCAGGAACAGTGACTCCGCAGTCTGGACCTCATAATGTTTTGCTCAAATATTTTCGGCGCCCTGTGCGTGCTTGCTCTCACAGTTGCAGCGAAGGCTCAGTCTGACACATCAACCGCCATATCAACCGGCACACCACCGCCCAGGAGCCATGTGCCCAAGTGGGTGTATATCAGAGCCAATATCAGGCCACAAATCCCGGAGGTAAGCGGCGGTCCTCGGGGTCGTGCATTGGATCTGTTAACAAGATCGAAAGCGACCAGCTTTACTCTGCCTGCAAGTGCGCTGCTTCAACTCGGCCATTCCTGTTCACATCTCACAGCTTCAAATAGACGTGGCATATGCTTGTCAACAATCAGTCCTTTTGGTGAAAGAAGATACACTTGCTGTCCCCACCGGACTTCAAACTTGGGTTCGGTGGCAAAGTACCCTGCACTGGGTGAAGGACCCGCCAGCACATGGGCCATTGCCTCCTGTCGACCTGGTGGGAGGACTACAGGAGCTTACGGAAAAAGTGGAAGATGGGACCATCGCCAGGGAAATTGACTTCGAATGGAAATTGGTGGATCTCTTGACTTCTGTTCACGATGGACACTTCGCCTTTCTGCCAGACGCCTACTTCGTCTTCACCTTCCTCAACCTACAGCCCATAATTTCTCTTTCGACTGACGGTAAGCAGCTGCCAGAAATATACCTCTATAACGACCTGGAGCCCGTATCCCAAGGAGAAGGATGTGAGCCTTCTCCAATCATCAAGATCAACGGGACAGAAGCTGTTTCCTGGCTAAGCGAGAGAGCTCTCAACGGGACCATGACTTTTCAAGATTTGGACGCATTGTACAATGGTATATTCCACTCGATCAGCGCTTACTCGATCAGCGCGCCTCTTAACCAAACAGTTGGTTATTTCGCTCTCCCAGACTTCAGTCGGTTCTGGGGATCATCGATCAACCTCGAATTCAAGAACGGGAGCAAATCATCTATTCCAATAGTAGCATTTACGACTAAGGATTTTTCAAACGTGATTGATGGCGAGAGCTTCTATCAAAATTTCTGTAATACCACGGTGAAGATCATGGCAGCAGCGAATGGGTCTTCGGCATCTACCTCCCAGCAGATCTCCACGACGACCCCCGACTCCGCCCAGATCCCGCAATATCCTTCAGCCATCGCCATAAGTGACGATGGTCCGGCTACTTTTTGAAAGATGAACCAAGCGTCGCTGTTTTGGCGGTCCTCGGAATGTCCGAGACCGCGCAACTCTCGACGCAGCAAACACTGTCCCGGTTCCTGCAAGGATGCCGGGAAACGAACAAGACGCATCTCATTGTGGATGTCAGTCAAAACGGCGGCGGCACGATTGCGGTAGCATACGGTATCTTCAAGCAACTGTTCCCGACTCTTGAGCCATATCTGGGGGCCCAATCACGGGCACATGAACAGGTAGGCAAATGGACTTTTCCAAGAACAGAGCGTTCGTTCTAATTTAGTACTGGCGGGTCGACATTCTCGGGAGTTACTTTACTCGCATAGCCCGACAGGTCGAAAAGCAGCAACCTGGGAATGTCACCGCCCCTAACGACGTCGGAGGATACCAAAGCTTTGATGTCTCAGTCCTCTACAACGATAGCGGGGTTCTTTTTCAATCCTAGGATCAATTTTTCGGTCCCGTCCAGGTGCGCGGTGACAATTTCACAAACCAATACCAACTCGACCTTTCAAATGCAGACTATGATGAAGCCACAGGCGGCATCGTTGTCACTGGCTACGCCAACAATTCAAATGTTGCGCCTCAGCCTTTCCTTCCCGAGAACATTATGGCTTTCAGTGATTGGTTCTGTGGATCGGCCTGCACAATCTTCATTCATCTGCTGAAGTATCAGGGCAAGGTAAAGTCTAATTGTTGCCGGAGGTCGACCCCAAACCGGGCCGCAGCAGACTATCGGAGGCGTCAAAGGTAGCCAAGTTGAAGGTTTAAGCACCATTCTGGAACTTGTTCAATATTTTTACCAGACTGCTTCACCGGAAGAAACCAAAAAGCTAACCTGACAGCACTGAAAGACCTGGCAGACTACGGCAATACGCTGCTGCTCCGGGACACTCAGGGACTTGTTCAGGTCAACTTTCAGAATGCCATTGCTCAGTACGATCAGTCCCAGACACCGCTCCAATTTGTCTACGAGGCCACGGACTGCAGACTGTGGTATCAGGTGGCTCACGCGCGGAATATTTCAGCCCTGTGGCAGACGGTGGCAGACCAAGCATTCGGCCTGAACGGTCAAGAGAGATTCTCATTGTGCGTTCCCGAGAGCACGAATCATCCCAGCAGCCTGAGTGGCAACCAGACATTGTACCAAGGGGGACAGATTGCCAATGTCACTGGGCATAACCCCGGAGACGAGGACGTCCCGAGCAACTCGCAGCGGAATGGTTCTGCGTCGATGATGTCGGCCGCTAATCTGTCGAGCATGGTCTTGGGGATGCTTTTGGCGGTCATGTCCCTGTTGTGATGAATTAGCCGGCGGATTCTTTAGTCGATAGCGTCTTTGGACTTTTTGCGTCGTTGCTTTCTGCACAAATGTCTTTTATTTTACAGGATTTCGCGATGAATTAGACGCAATTGACGATAACCATCCTCCAAGGCAGAGACCATGGTCCTGAACCCGCACATGGAGTCTAGCTCCGGATACCCGACGGTCGGTATGTGAGGCGCAAGGTCCGCGCCGTCGGGTCTCCGTGCATTTCCCAGCACGAAGGCGAGGCGTACCCATATCAATGTACCTTGACATCTCTCCAGGGTCGGCAATGAAATCGAGGGACGGATGCAGGGTTGACGACCCTCATCAAACTAGTCCCCATCAAGGCCATGGTTCAAATATGGATTAGTTTCTCTCCTTCCATCGAGCTATTATCTTTCTCCTCCTGCTCCTCCTCTCACCAGGATGTTCTTTTCAAAGTTTATAAAAAGGTCGGTCGCTTGGATTCGCAGTCATCATCTCGATATCGTCTCTTTCACAAAACGTGACATGTGTAGCTTCGGCCGTTGCATGTGGGTATCCATGCACTCAGCATCGTTTTACCATCGAACGTTGTACTTGCTGGGGGAGATTCGGGTAAACACTCCCATCACGCCTCTCATTCATATTTCTCTCAGAATCTCTCTCCCCGTTGTACCGACCGTCGATCGATCGATCGATCGAAGATGCTGCCCTGAATCTCGAGTGGTTGGCCGGACTTGGCTTTCAACACGCCCACATGCCCAGCTTAGCGAGAATGTAGACATATCATACAAGTTTCTGTGGACTGTGGTGAGTACTATGCCTTAATGCGGTCATGGCTTTGTCAGCCTCTCAGGCCACGTCTTGGTTTTGGTTCCTTTGCTCTTTCGCGCGAGACGATTCGCAAGCCTCGCGCGAGAACAATTTTTTGGCTCTTCCCGAGCAAACACGAATAGGACCCAGGACGCAGGCCCCAGGAACTCAGGTGCTGCCGTTGTTGCCACAGAACGGGGGTCGTTCCTCCTCCCCTGACCCAGGCACCTCCTTGTGCTCATTTTCAACAGTCATCATCATCATGCGAGCGATGGTCGATCCCGCAGGACCGGAGGGGCCCGCGGGCTTTGACAGCTCGACTTGCCCTGCTATGCCGCTACGACACCAATAACACATAAGCCATTCTCGCACCTCAACGCCTGTTCCCCCAATCCTTGGTCTGTAATCTAGCCGAGAGTCAGGGCAGGTGAGGGGATTGCATCACAATACCACTAGTAACGACAACGTCGATCCTCCTGGCGCTGTGCGGGCGAACCCTTGAACGAATACCAGGTACACGTCCCAGGACTGAGCCACCAGAGCTTCTGTGGAGGCGGGCTCACGTGTTGGGATGCGCTTTATAATCTGGATACAGATATATACATTTACCCTGTGGCAATACATATGTCTCGAGTCCAAACAACCCCAGCCTTGAACTCGGCGTCGACTACTTCTGCTTGGTGAAGATTTCTATCGTCAGTGTCCTCGACCGTCCCAGAAAATCTCTCCACGTCTTACACCCCCGAAAACCTGTCATGGCATCGCCATCTACCGACACCACGAAGCGCACCAGCTTGGCTTGCAACCACTGTCGTCTCAAAAGACAGAAGGTACGGACATGAATTTCCGTGGCGTCTCTCCCCCATTCTCTCTCACAGTCTTGTCCATGCTGAGACTAACTTGTGACGACCACCAGTGTGACGGCAACAAGTAAGTACACCTGCAAGAATAGGCGGCGGGAGATCTGCTTGTTTGCCTTCATCCATGCGAGCTAGGGAGCTTCAGGGCGTTGCAGTTGCTTGCGCCGCTGACGTCCCGGGTCGATGGACTTGCCAACAGCTTCGTGGATATTTTGAAATCTTGTCACCGAGAGAGCCCTTGGTTGGGAAAGGTCACTAAACTCGAGGAAATTTGCAGGTCCGGCTGTTCGCAATGCGCTGCTCTCAGGGTCTTTTGCACCTTCCCAGACGCGAAGAAAAGGTAAGCGGTGTTTCAATCGTCTACATGATGACCACGGCGTTTTCAAAGGGCTTTTTCTTCTCCCGCCTGGTTGATCTCAACTTCCAAAATGCTGACAACAACAACCCTGAAGGGGTCCGGTAAAGGGATACATCGACATCCTCGAAGGCCGCTTATACGAGCTCGAGTCGGCACTGCTCCAGGTCCTCCCGCTGGTGTCGAACGAACAACTCAACGAGATTACGGCGTCGATACCGCCCATACCCAGTCGTCCGCATTTCAGAGCCCGGTTCAGCAGGACAAGCGACGGGTCATCGCCACCGCACGACCTTGTGGTGCCCAGCACTCCGCCATCGCCTTCAGAGATCGTATTCCACCAAGTCCAACAACAACACCGAGAGAACAATCGACCACCGCAGCAGCTATCTCAGATGATCGCCACGGAAAATGATGAACTATCTCCGTGTTCGCTCCAGCATAATCAGCAGTACGTGAAGCAGATGATGTCTGATTCCTGGCTGCAGCACCGGCCGCAGCAACAGCACCATCTGCCTCTGGAGCTAAGCCCCTTCGTCGGCGGCGCGCTCGCGCGACAGGACCAGTATCTCGTCTTTCCGGCAAGACACGGCTTTGTTAGCGGCGGACCTGGTTCCGAGCTCGACTTTATGCCCGACTATGACCGGAATGGCGCGAGGGAGACGGTCATGGTCTCGTCCCGGGGCTTCTAACGAAGTGCCAATGTTCAATAGCGATACTATCATAACAAAGCACTATCTTTTGTTGGTGGGCTGATATGGTTGATCTGGACATGGCGCCAGCACGCCTTATTACTGTGGGCCGTGCGCCCTGGAGTACATCACCTTGACGGCGGGACCTTCCTGACGAAAAACGCCGCGGGCGGGATTATTGGCCGAGGGAAGCAATGCCTTTTCGTTCAATTCGGTTTGGTCGGTTCTCTGCTTTGCTTTGGCGTGTTATACTCAGGCGCACATCATGATTGTGACAATGTATCCACACAACAGACGTAAAGAAAGAGAGGGAAAGAGAGGGATGTGGCTCATATCCACTCCATCTATATCTTTCGAGTCCCCGGAATGGTTCTGCTTTTGCCGGCCTCGCGAGGTCTAATATACTGTCCTGGGTGCGAAGCGAGAGGCGCAGGAACCAGAGGAAGAAGTAAGGAACAAGGAGGAATACGACCCGAAGGGCTAGAAGCCGTTCCGGATATCCATGCCCCGCTTCGCTCTCGTCTGCCCGAATAAACAGTAGTGCGGGATAAATAACTGGGTAGGCCCGACCAAGGAGCAGAAGACGACGCTCGATGATTTGCCGAAGATGGATGGACTGTTCCCCTTTGGGTAATACAAAGACCACATCTAGCCGAGTTTCTCCTGGCTTTCTTGGCCCATTGACTGATCGATCAATCGACCGACCGGGGGTATAAATTTCTCACACAAGGAAGAGGGACACGCGACCAAGGCCATCTGAAGCTTTTATTGGCTTTTCAGCCTTAGCGAGGTTGTCCTCGGTCAGATCTTCTGCTCTGCTCTGCTTCATGTTCTTGATAATAAAACTTCACCTGTCTCCGGGTCGTAGAGTCCGGAGGAACGAAACTCTACCTCGTTCGCTTGTCCGCTCGTCCGTTTGTGGAATGGCAGCACCACATAGGTCCCGTTCTGTCTTGCGAATTTCAGGTTTGTTGTCGACAAGGATGACCGCTGAACCTGAGTTGCACAACAGCAAAAACGCCATCTTGGGAAGAGCTTGTGTTGACGTTGTTGGCGGTTCCATCTTGATGAACGTCAGTCCATCCCATATTACTACTCTGCTGTTTAAGTTTTCGTTGTAACTCTTCCCTAGCAATGATGGCTTCGAAAATGGGACATGTCAGTTCGCCCGTCGTGTCCTCCTTGGCTTACCGCCGCATGGAATTGGAGAGATGACACCATTTGAGATCAAATGGCTCGTGCCCATTGCTGAATGACGCAGCCTTCTATCGCCGAAGTGATCAGGCTGTGGGAACAGGAGTCTCTCCTCAATTTGCAAACATGTCATTCTGTCGAGTCGAAGGCTGTCTGCTGATCTCCTGCAGGCTGGATCTCGGGTACCACACCTCGGGAGTTATGTCGGGTGTCAGCAATTGGCCCCGTCCTGTTCCGCATGAGGGCCGATGGAGGGACGATGCCTAATATGACGAATACCCAGAACCAATTTGGGTACTCTTTGACACCGAGATCGAACATGTTGGGCGCCTGAAACACCTCAACAGTAACATCTGTTGCGTCTACACTCACCAATGAACGGCAGCAGACGGAAACAGAAGCACGAATTTCTCGATCTGGAATCACGACGCGAGAAAAGACGCCGACGCCAAGTAAACAGTCGGGGCCAATGGCGGTGTTGAAAAGATCAGTTCTTACTCAGCAGTCGGGGACCAAAATAAGCCACTTCGAGCGAGAAAGACCAATCCGCTTCCTGCCCAGATTTCGAGCATCTTTTTGAGCGGAGATGACGAACCTGATCATGCGCTTCCTGCCTACAGAAATCTCTGCGAGAGGATACCCAGCATCGTACAGTGCGCAACGTGAAGAATATCAATGACATCTGCTGGAAACTGAATGACAGGCGAGAAAAAGATGCTTGGGTCGAATTTTCTGTGGGTAGGCTCGAGCGGTGGCACCAACAACCCAACCGGCCATGTTTACGAAAAAGCGGTACGAAGCCATGTCCAGCGATGGTCGAAGACACATCCAGTCTCGACAAAGCTGCGTGGGAGGACTTTGACGGACAGAAAACGGAAAGTCGCCGCAAAGACTCGATCGGCCGTTCCTTTGTCACCAAAGCAGATGGACGAAATCGAGGGTTGTCCATCAAGTGCACGTCGCGCCACTCATTTTCCTGCGTCGCCAATGACGCCAATATCTAGTCAAGAGACCCCGACCGAATCGGGAGGTCTGGATGTAATGCAGATGAGCAGCAGGGGCACGATTGAGGTTGATTCTTCGGCCATGGAATGGCCGCAGCATCAACCTTCGTTACAGTGTGACGAGACGGCCCACACCAGAGAGGACCTTCCCGTAGCTGAGGGTGCTATTGTTCCAGCCACATGGAGAGACGATCAACAATGGTGGGACACTGTTCAGTTTCGCATACAGCAGACTGTGCGACTCTGGCAGTCCATCGCACCCACTCTGTCCGCGACCCTCGACTCAGACAGGCTGGAGAAAATGGTCCGCTGCCACCACATGACCTTCTCCGCAGTCTGCTCAGTGAAGAAAGCCGCCACCACTCGAGAGTCGCAGGAGGAAGCACTAAGATTTGAACAGCTGATGAGGAAAGGTTGCAAAGCTTTGCAAGCGAACAAAGTCAAGGAAGCTTTCAAGCTGTTTGACGAGGCCTTCTCATACCTGAAGCCAATTCTGATCTTGCAAAATATCCGCGGGCAGCCGATGTTGTGCCGCCTTATTGCTGAATTCTCTGGGCCGCTCTTCGTGCCGCTGTGGCACCGGGTCTACCAGTATATCATTGGGCTTGCAGAAGTGTTGGTCAGTCCAGACAACCCGTTCGGACAAAGTGCGGATTTGTTTATTCGATCGCCACTCCCGTTGGCTGACGCGTCAGAAATGGTCCTTCGGTGTATCCTCGACGTGGTGCAGACACAACTCGGAGTACTGCATCCAGATGCCATGGATTGCCTGGAGTGCCTGGCTTGGTGTCTGTTTGAAAGGGGTCGTGAACAGGAAGCTCTGGCCCGCTTTGCAGAGCTGCTACAAAGGCAGGAATCCGCCAGGGGCCCCATGTCTCCCGAGGCATGCGATGCCCTTCGCGGACTTGCTGAGACCCATGTGCGGCTGGGTGACCTCGACACGGCTGAGGACATTTTTGACGAGGTACTTAGTTGGCGAAGCTTGAGGGGCGGCAGGACGAACCCACAGGTGACGGCAGTCAGGGTCAAGTGCTTACTTTCGCTGTCTCTGCTTGCCGAGCGAAGGCAGAATTCGTTTCGTGCTCGCTGGCTGTTGCATCAAGCCGCTCAAACAACATCCTTGGCATTCGGAAAAGATGGTCAGATGGCTGCAGAAGCTGGGGTCGACGCGAAGCCTCTGGGACCGGATCTACGAGAAGAAGTCAGGAGGTTGCTGGACACTGTGGAGTCGTGGTCGCTAGATTGATGAATGACGAAGATGGTTCAGAGACAAATGCAGAAGCTTAATGTTTCGTCCCCGCCAACGAGGACCATGAGGTTTGTGCAGAGGTGGCAGTTTCTTTCCGCCCTTCTCTTTCCTGCACCATTCACCATCCCTGTGGTACAAATTTGCTTGGTGTCATTTGCCGGACCCGAGTTGCGGGAAGTAAAGCGAAGGGGAAAGGCAAACGATCAAAAACATCCTGTAGTTGGGAGCCTCTCAAAGCGACAGATCCACGTGTTATGCTCGGGTCTCCTGTGTAGACAGGGATGACTCAGGATACCTTGTGGGATGGAGGAGGGCTGTATGAAACTGTTGGGGGACGCAGCAGAATGTCAGGCTGCATAGGTCATTGCACCATGGTCGACAGGCAAGCTGGCCACCTGGGCCATCACAAGAGGTAGGGAATGCAGGGCAATGCAGGGCAATGCAGGGCAGTGCAGGGCAGTGCAAGGTGCTGAATGCAGGTCGAGAGCTGTAGGTGCCGGTTGTTGCAAGTTCGTGTTGTTGGCGACACAGCTCGACGGACAGGGAGAAAGGGAACGACAGGACACCGTACCAACTGGGCACAGCGCAGGCACGGCGCAGGCCCGGCGCAGGACAGAGGGCACCAAGACTGTTGAGGGGGATTGAAGGTCGCATTGCGTCATGGCAGCAGCTACCCAGGACATGGGACCTCAGCTCTCTTCACTCACTCCCTTCACCTCAATACTTGCACATTTACATGTACCCAAGACCCTTCCACCGCCACCGCCCGCAACAACCGCAACAGATTTCTTTGCTTGCGTATCGTTTCCTTGCACAGTTGTCTCGCTGTCGCTCTACGTTGTTGAAGGAGTGCAGGATGATGACGGGGGAGCGTGGCTAATGCTCCTCCTCTCCTTCTCCCCCTCTTCTTTTCTTTTTCTGTGACTAATCACTAGCACCAGCAACGGAAGCATCTCGAGCTCACTGTCAACGACGCCCCTCCATACTATTTTGCATCCCACGTCGCTTTCCCCCCGCGCAGGACAAGGACTGGAGGATAAGCAAGAAAGAGGATAAAAGGAAGAAACCGCAGGACTTGAGCCAGTTATTCGAAGATCAAGGAGCACATGTCTCAACACAGCATTTTCACGTACTCGATGTCTATGCGGCGTACACGATGGAGTGGCCTCGAAAATGATACCAAGCTAGTTTAGCTTTGTGCAAGGTACAGTACATGTACAGAGCAAGCTAGGGAGCTGTTCAGCTATCTTCGTCAGGATGCATAAGCGCTCCTTGCAAGGATTTTGAATCCTTCCGTATGTGCCAAGAATCCGACCAAGGTACACATTCACCGCCAATTTTTATGACTTTTGTGGCTCTCCCCACCCTTCTATCTCAACCCTTGAAACACTGAAAGACCGGAAGAAAACTTATTCCAGTTGAATTTTGTTCACCCCAGAAATCTTTTTGGAACCAGTGGGCCGTACGACCGACCGTGTCTTTTTCGCTCACGCCATTTCCTCCCTTTTTTTTTTGGTAGCCTTAGCCCCGATCCGCCACCATGTCCACCGCTGAATTGACATCCCCCAATAGTAAATTCGTTCCTTTCAGAAATATTCATCTTGAATCATAATCGTTCATGGTGCTTGGTCAAGACACCCAATCATTAGTTCGTAATAAAAGTCTCGCAGAAATGAAAGCATGGTAAGTTCAATGTGACCTTGGCCGATCCAGCAATTTTTTCAAGTATACATGACTTGTTGTCGGTAAGCAGCCGTCAGTTGGCTGCATTGGTAGGGAACAGAGAATAGGAAACCCGGGTGTTGCGTCGAGGTCGGGAAGTTGCTGTATTGGCGCGTTTGCGGCCAACTTGAGCCCTCGAGAGTTGGACACCAGGCATTGAGGACTTCCTCTCAGGCACGGGAACCTGGGACGCAGAAGCACCGCGGTCATGTCTGATTGTCGGAGACGGAGCGAAAGGTCCGAAGGATTCGATAAGTTGAGAAGCCGCCGTGTTGCCGCACCGCGAATCTTCTCGTATCGTATCCTGGCTCCCTTCTCGAAAGTGCTTTTCTGGGCCGGAACTGAAATCCTGAAGATCGAGCTTGAGGCTTTCCCTCGAGTTCCCAAAGCTGGCCAGATGGGCGAGGTCGGACAGAGTGGTGCTCGAATTTGATGATCGGTGTGTGCCAAAAATCGAGGCAATGATGCTTTCCTGGGAGCTAGACTTGCTCATCGTGGAGACGGGGCTTCGCATGACCCGAGCACGAAAGGCATCTGTCGAAGCAAGATTGTTCTCCGGTTGGTGGGAATCACTGACTGCCGCTTCATCCAGAGAGACGGTTGGAATTGGCTTCAGAGACTCAATTCCAAGCCCAAGCAGCGGGGATGACGGCTCCTGCTCGAGCGGTTGAGAAGGTCCACTCTCATCTCGAGAAAGATTGCTGGGCATTTGCATCGTCAACGGAGTTGAAGCCGAGGAAGATGCTTCCTCGATAGACTGCTGCTCTACCACCAAGTAATTCTCTTGAGGAATGCTCAGAGTACTGGGTCGACTGAGGATTGCAGCTGAGGCGTTTGTGCCATCGTCGTCTTCAAGGTCTGCGGCATGTTCCCACGAATAATCAATGGCATCCTCCCAGTCTCCAATGTCGATAGGTTTCACACCAACGGAGAACCGATTCTTGGATTTTGGACTCGCTTGCCCTCCTGTAGTTTCCGCAACGGTTGTTTCTGTGGTTGACATCCTACACGGCGAGGCATAGGAAACAACATCGAAATGAATTTCACCGGACGACTGGCTTCGCCGCTTATGTTGTTTGGTAGAAGTCGAAGCGGAAGCGTGCGGAATCAGTGGTTCGACAGTGGCATCGACCGTTTGTGACGTTGCATTCTCATCTACACTCTCCTCTTCAACGACCTCCATTACTGCCCTTGGAGGCGATGGCAGCGGAGCGGTACGGAGAGGAAGTGCAATGTCGTCCCGGGTTGAAACAGCGTGGACAACTTGATCATCTGGCAAGTGTGGGAGCGGCTTAGCTAGTGCTCTGGCCTGACTGATAGGGCTCATCGCCGACAATCTCTTAGAAATGTCGGAGGAAGGAGAGATGTCCATTGCAGTCACGGACAATCTCGTTGGGCGAGAGAAATTCTCCATCGAGCGAGATAGTCGAAATTCGGGACTGTATGGCGGCATGAAAGTATCCTTCGGTGGCGGGCTCGGGCGTGTTGGCGTTGTTGGTAGGTAAGGAATGGCACTGGTGGTTGGCGAAGTTGGCTCGTCAAATCCAACGTGTATCTTGGATTCGTCACCGTTCACCGGAAGGTCTGTTACGGGTATGCCACGAATCTGGTCAACTGGTTGCTGATCGGCATGAACGGCATTGAATTCCGAGGTGAGGTCTGTCTTGCTAACCGAATCCAAACTCTGGAAGTGCGCTTGATCGCCGTGAGTCAAATGTTGGAAGGCAAAGGGCCCTGATATACTCCGCTTTAACCCTGTGTCTTGTTAGAGATGGGCATCGGTCGACAGGCCAGGAAAAGGGGGTCCTTACGCCTTGAGATCAGAGTGGGCTGGCGTTGGAGACTCTTGACTGGAGCCATCTCGCCAACCCTTGCTTCCGGGAGGACGCTTGATCTGTCTTCTAGCTGAGAAGGCAGAAGATTGAGCTTGCTCCCTTGCCGTTTCAACATGCGAGTGCCCTTGGTCAACAAGGTCTTCGCCGCGCTTTCCTGGCGTTCGGGCAGCGGCAGGCCACCGTCGACAAAACTCTGGCGAGAACAAGGCCTGGAGGCCATGTCGTTCGAAGTATCCGACAGAGAGCGAGTATAGGCAGAAAAAGAGGAAGTGACAGTGTTCGTCCGCGACCTCACTCGCGGATTGGGCGATATGTCAGGGTTCCCTAGCTCAGGACTCGAATACTCTTTCATCAAATCGGGAAGTGCTTGTCTTGACGGCTCAGCGTTGTCCTTTGAAAACCAGTCACTGGTAACAGCATGCAGCTTGTCACTGCCTTGCTTGGAGTGCGCCTGGCCCCATGGGAAGCGACCCATTTAGGCCTTGCCAAGTTCGATGCGTGACGGTTACTAAGAGACCAAGGACACAAATCTACAGTGTCTCATCCAAAGGCGGGCGAGAGCAGACTGGTGCCACCCTGATGTCGTGTCTGTGCTGGGAGGTCGTCGTGCTAAGGTCGTCGGAAAGATTGTTGATAGTCTAGGATAAAGGAGGAACGCTTGACAGGTGGCAGGGTCTATATGGCACAAGATCTGCCTCGGACTGATGTTTCATTCAGTCAGTCGGTATTGCAATCACGTGAAGTATGCCAAATGACTCCTCAAGATCTTCGATCTTACCAACAATCAACATTTGAAGGCGGAGAGGTTTCAAGGTACAGCCCCCACCACCAACGAGCACGTTCAAATGTCCAAGACCACCCCTGATCAACTCGGAGAGCTCACAAACATCTAAGGGAGTCTCCCTGTTGAGATGTCGGGCTTCGCTTCTGGGCTGCGGTGGCAGAACGAAAAGCTGGTATTTGAGACGGGAAAACGCGTGAAGCCAGTGACCAGGGAGACGGCAACGTTATCAAAACAAGTTTTAATGGCTCAAAACCGTACTGACCAAGCACACAACGTGGAATAGCAGGAACACAAGCTGGATGATATACAGAGCAGAGAATGGAAGACAGACTGGACGAACAATGAGCGGGAGAAGAGATATTTGGGCCTGATCTCACCAATTGGCAGAGCCCCGACCAGAAAGAGAGGTGGAGTGAGCACCATGACCCTCGTCGTTCATGGGTCAAAGGCGTCAGTCATGCAGAAAGTAGAACCCGAAAGCAGGGGCAGTGAGTGGTCCAAACTGCCGGCGAGGCTTGATGGCTGGATAACGGGGTGAAAAGAGAATCTAAACCGCGGAAGGAATGGCTCGAGAGCGTGATGCTTTTGACAGACGCGACTGAGACTGCCGGCTTGAAAAGCATCCCCATCTTCGCAAAGCACGAAGCAGGGGAATT